TGGTATTTCCAAGGACGGTCAGACCCGTGAGCACGCTCTGCTGGCGTTCACCCTTGGTGTGAAGCAGATGATCTGCTGCTGCAACAAGGTAAGCATGGGATTCCTGGATTCAGTCATGAATTCCTACCGATCATTCAGTCACGACGCTATAACACGATATGGTTATAAAAAAACCTTGATCTAGGTTGATCTGCTTTACCATGAAGCATCGGTCTGTAGAATCGTCACTGATTTCGTTCCTTGTTTTGCCTTCTCCAGATGGATGCCACCACCCCCAAGTACTCTAAGGCTCGTTATGAGGAAATCGTGAAGGAGGTGTCTTCGTACCTGAAGAAGGTCGGCTACAACCCCGACAAGATTCCCTTCGTGCCCATCTCTGGCTTCGAGGGAGACAACATGATTGAGCGCTCCACCAACCTGGACTGGTACAAGGGCCCCACCCTGCTGGAGGCTCTGGATCAGGTGACCGAGCCGAAGAGGCCGTCCGACAAGCCCCTGCGTCTGCCCCTTCAGGACGTGTACAAGATCGGCGGTATCGGAACAGTGCCGGTGGGTCGTGTGGAGACTGGTGTGCTGAAGCCCGGTATGGTTGTGGTGTTCGCTCCCAGCGGGCTGACCACTGAGGTGAAGTCGGTGGAGATGCACCACGAGTCCCTGCCCGAGGCGGCGCCCGGCGACAACGTGGGCTTCAACGTGAAGAACGTGTCGGTGAAGGAGCTGAAGCGTGGCTTCGTCGCGTCCGACTCCAAGAACGACCCCGCCAGGGAGGCTGCCAACTTCACGTCGCAGGTCATCATCATGAACCACCCCGGGCAGATTAGCAGCGGCTACGCCCCGGTGCTTGATTGCCACACGTCCCACATCGCCGTGAAGTTCGCTGAGATCATCACGAAGGTGGACAGGCGTTCCGGCAAGGAGCTGGAGAAGGAGCCCAAGTTTGTGAAGAACGGCGATGCGTGCTTCGTGAAGATGATTCCCACCAAGCCCATGTGCGTGGAGACCTTCTCTGAGTACCCTCCCCTTGGTCGTTTCGCCGTGCGTGACATGAGGCAAACCGTGGCTGTGGGTGTCATCAAGAGCGTTGAGAAGAAGGACCCCTCTGGTGCTAAGGTCACCAAGGCTGCTGCCAAGAAGAAGTGAATGCTGGAAACCGTGGACAGTGGTGTTGGTGTATGCTTGTGTCACCGGTACCTCATGATTTTGGAGTGGGCCACTTGCGGCATGGCGCTATTGCGGATATTGCTTTCGAGGAAATGGCAGACCTGGGTGTTGGACAGGCGGTGGCAGGGCTGTTTGAGCTTGTGAGGATTTGAACATTAATGTGTATTTCATGTTGAATTGTTGAGAGAAGCTTGAAGACGTGAATTTTGTTGGTAGACCCGGTTGTTTGACAGGCTACTGCAGGGCCGGCTTCCGTGTTTTATGCTTATGTTGCATTTGCCCAAGTGATGCTTCTGTGTTCGGCTAGAGCGTTCAATCACGTATCATACATGCTCATACAGGAAATAGTTATGGGTCCACTCAAGCCGTGGTGGAGTCACAACCCCGAAACAGTTCCACCCGACTTTCACGGTCTTTGGCCTTTTAGTTGACCAACGGGAACTGCTTGACTGGGGCGCACCGAGCGAATTGGGGTTGGTTTTGAATGAGTGAAATGGTCGATGGATTCTTGGGTCAGTGAAACAGAGTCGTGAAAAGCTCAAAGCCGCTAGCTCATCCAAGACTTTCGAGGCCAACACCACTTTTCAGCAGCGTTTACGTCTTGTTTTGAACATAACAGAGTTCACCAAAGCACGACAACGACCAAGCTCGTACCTTATCGTTCCTGCAATCGTCACGCCTCGCTTCGCAGATGATCGCAGGCTCCTGCAACTGTCTTGGCGACAAGTTTTACTCCGAGTAAATCTGTCCGCGCAAGTATTTCACCTCGTCCCTTTGACTCAGCCGTATCATTCCTTTGCGGCTTCACGGTCGCGTTCGTCCGTAGTTGAGCTACTAAGCTCGGCACAGCAGTCTAGAAAACCCGTACCTCATTCGTGGACCGCTTTCCACTAGGAGGAGTGTTTCTTTCATATTCATCACGACCGCTTACCGCTAGGAGGCTGGTGCTATTCTCGTCGTCCTCACCGCTGCTCCACCGTCCTGCGCCGTTTTGCACGCCTCGTCAGTGCATCTGGACTCATCTGACGTCCGTCCCATCATCAGCGTGTGCATCAGCATCAGCATCAGCATCTCATCTCATCATGATCATGCAACGGCTGCCAGCCGTGCTGCCTGCAGCGGTCACCATGGCGGTGATGCTGCTCGCGACCATGCTCGCAGCAAGAGTTGACGGGCAGCCGGGTGAGTCGGGCCTTGCTTCTGACGGCTATGGGTGAGTCGGGCCTTGCTTCTGACGGCTATGGGTGAGTCGGGCCTTGCTTCTGACGGCTATGAGTGAGTTGGGCCTTGAATCTTACGGCTATGGGTGAGTCGGGCCTTGAATCTGAAAAGTCGTGCAGTTACTGTTACTGTCAGGGGGGAGTCGTGCAGGCAGGCACTTGATTGACAACTTGATTGACACTTGTCTGACACTTGACTGACACTTGATTGACATTTGATTGACACTTGATTGGCATGGAGCTGTTGACATGGATTTCGTGACATTTGTCTTTACAACGCTCTGGAACTCGCCAGAGACAGCAGGTCTGCAGCCCGGAGGCTTCCAACCTTTCATAATGATGTCTGGTACCACTCGGCCATCTACCCACCCTGTCCATGTGTCTGATTCCGTTACTCTGTCACCCATGTGTCTGATTCCGTTACTCTGTTACTGTTACCCATGTGTCTGATTCCGTTACTCTGTAACCCACGTGTCTGCCACCCACGTGTCTCTGCCACCATCACATGTGCACCGCCAGCAGGTACCATCCAGTCGCAGTGTCTGAGCAGCCTCATGGCGTGTCTTGACTCCACCCCTCGCTGCTACTTCTACGGTTCCTCCTCCTACTCCTGCTCCTGCACCAACCCTGACACGCCCTGGTCCTGCACCCTCATCTCAGGTTCGTGCATCTGAAAAAGTACACGGCAGGCCCACATTCCCCCCACCTCCCCCCGCTCCCTTCTGAGTCGACTCAAAAGTCACCTTGCCCTGGTCGTGCGCCCTCATTTCAGGGCCGTGCAACGGAAACAATCCATGGCAAGCCCACATTCCCACCTTCCCACCCTCCCTGCTGGCCGGATTCTGCTCATATCAACTCCATCCACTCCCTCCTCCCTCCTCTCCATCCTTGCATCCTTTCCTCTCTCCCGCCCGTCCTCCTCTTCCTTACTCATTCTTCCCTGGTCTTCCTCCCTTCCCTCTTTCCTCCCGGTATTTCCACTTGGTGTTTTCTTCACCCACCATCTTCCCTATCCAAAGTGCCAACTCCCTGCCCCCTCCTATCGCTGCCTCTGTATCCCTCCTCACCCTATTTCCTCGCTCTCTCCCGCCCTCCTGCTGCTGGGACAGCCACAGCCAGCAAGCCAGCAGGATGCAGGGACATGGCAGCAGGCGCATGCGTGCCAGGCACGTGTGTCAGCGACGGCTCTCAGCTCCTTGGCTGCGCCTGTGCTGCTGGCTTCTCGCAGCGCAACGTGTCCTCCAAGCCCCCCTACTGCGCTCCTGGTCAGCCCAGTTTCTCTCGTCCTTGTCCCTTTGCTTCTCCCCTCCTCATTTTTGCTTCTCGGTGCCAGTCCTCACACTGCACTGCAATGTCACTGCCAGCCTTAGAGCGCCATGCCCCTCAGTCTCCCCGGTAGTTTGTCTCTACTTTCGGGACGACTCAAAACGAGACTCGCCTCGTTTCACGCAATTTGTAGACGACTCAAAACTCGCACTGGAATGCCACTGGCAGCCTTCACTCGCTGTGCGGCCCATGCCCCTCAGGCTTTCTGGGAATTCGTCCCTAGCTCTGAGACGACTCAAACCTCCCACTACGATGCCACTGCCAGCCTTAACACGTTTCAGGCCCATGCCGTGCTCCTTAGGCCCGCGGCGTGCTCCTTAGGCCCGCGGCGTGCTCCTTAGGCCCGTGGCGTGCTCCTTAGGCCCGTGGCGTGCTCTTTAGGCCCGTGGCGTGCTCCTTAGGCCCGTGGCGTGCTCCTTAGGCCCGTGGCGTGCTCCTTAGGCCCGTGGCGTGCTCCTTAGGCCCGTGGCGTGCTCTTTAGGCCCGTGGCGTACTCCTTAGGCCCGTGGCGTGCTCCTTAGGCCCGTGGCGTACTCCTTAGGCCCGTGGCGTGCTCCTTAGGCCCGTGGCGTGCTCCTTAGGCCCGTGGCGTACTCCTTAGGCCCGTGGCTTGCTCCTTAGGCCCGTGGCGTGCTCCTTAGGCCCGTGGCGTGCTCCTTAAGCCCGTGGCGTGCTCCTTAGGCCCGTGGCGTGCTCCTTAAGCCCGTGGCGTGCTCCTTAGGCCCGTGGCGTGCTCCTTAGGCCCGTGCTCCTCAGGCCCTCCTTCCTTCCTTGAGTCCTCATCCCAGCCGTGGGTCCGTCCGTGCTTCTTCTGCAGAAGTAGCACGTCTCACGTCCGTGCTTCTTCTGCTCATTCAACCTCTCCACCGTCCCATCCCTCCCGCCAGAAGATAGCAACTCAACTGCACCACCGTCACCATCACCGCCACCACCACCATCATCACCGCCACCACCGTCGGAATCACCACCGTCAGAAGCAGCACCGTCAGAAGCAGCACCGTCAGAAGCAGCACCGTCAGAAGCACTACCGTCAGAAGCACTACCGTCAGAAGCACTACCGTCAGAAGCACTACCGTCACAAGCAGCGCCGTCAGAAGCAGCACCGTCAGCAGCAGCACCGTCAGCAGCAGCACCGTCAGCAGCAGCACCGTCAGCATCACCACCACCGGACAAGTGTGCATCTTTGCTGGCGAACCCATGCCAGCCGGGCACCTGTGCCAGCAACGCCTCAGCTGCCTCTGGCTACAGCTGCGACTGCCCCAATGGTTTTGACGAGTTCACCATTGGGCGCACAACAATATGCAGCGGTAAGCCTTGGGGGGTTGTGTACGAAGTTTAGTGGTGTCTCAAAAGTAAATTTCTTACGCCCCAGCTGCCTCTGGCTACAGCTGCTGACTTCCCCGGTGGTTTTGACGAGGTCAGCATTGGGCGCACAACAAAATGTTGAGGTAAGGCTTTGGGGGGGTTAATTGCATGTGGGGGTGTGTGTTACAGTGTGTGTGTAACATGCGTGTTGGGTAAAGGGATATCACACATGCCTAAAGTTGTGCTATATGGGTGCTGCACCGCCATTGTTTCCATGACAGTGCATCTGAGGAGGACCCCTTTATCAAGCGAGCACTCACTCACTCGCTTGTCACCATGAGGGGTCTCGTAAAAATGACTTGAATGGTCCATCGGGCACTAACCAGTGATTCCCATTCGCATGCCTTCCCTTCCCACTCTCAGTGCTGTCTGGGTCAGCGGGCATGCCCCAAGGCAGCTGCTCCCAGTTCTCCACCAACCCCTGCCTCCCCGGCCTTTGTGTCAACGACTCTTCGGCAGCAGCGGGGTACTCGTGCCACTGCCCCTCGGGCTACGTGCAGACCTCGTCTAACCAAATGCCGTCATGCTCCAAGGGTGAGCCCGCATGATGTACCGCGGGTGAGCCCGCATGATGTGCAGCGGGTGAGCCCGCATGATGTGCAGCGGGTGAGCCCGCATGATGTGCCGCGGGTGAGCCCGCATGATGTACCACGGGTGAGCCCACATGATGTATCACGGGTGAGCCCGCATGATGTACCACGGGTGAGCCCGCATGATGTACCACGGGTGAGCTCGCATGATGTACCACGGGTGAGCCCGCATGATGTACCACGGGTGAGCCCGCATGACGTACCACGGGTGAGCCCGCATGATGTACCACGGGTGAGCCCGCATGATGTACCACGGGTGAGCCCGCATGATGTATCACGGGTGAGCCCGCATGATGTACCACGGGTGAGCCCGCATGATGTACCACGGGTGAGTCGACATGACCGTCAGTCCGTGTCACTTTCATCACCAAATTAAAAGTCTTTTTGACTCTGCGTGTGAGTATGAATTATGAAGGGACATTGTGATGTGCGGAGGATCTCTGCAGCATTGTCATTGCACTACCTGCCTTTTTACAACCCCGCTACACTCATCAAAACTAGACACTCCCGCCATATGCGGTTTCATTTGCAAATCAAACAGCCTACACGTTTTCAAACATCGTCGAATGGAAACCCTTGCTATCCAAACCCCTTCCGTCTCCCCCTCCCCCGCCCAATTATTCACGCCTTCTACTGCAACCAAGGTAAACATCTGAACGTGTGGCAGTGCTCCAATGCCCTCTATGCATGTGTGCGGTGGGCATTTTCAGTGCAACAGGCCCCTTTCCTCCAACACCCCTTCCCCCGCCCACCCCCCGCCCACCCCCCGCCCCCCCCCCCTGCGCAACCCCCCCATGCGTATGGCAGAGGTGAACATGTGGCAGTGCTCCGATGCCATCTATGCATGTATGGACATCACGCCGCGCTGTTACTGGGTGGCTGGCACGGCCTACTCATGCTCATGCGGCATGCCTGAAACGCCCTTCAAGTGCTCCAAGCTCCCAGGTGATGCCCCCCCCCCCCCCCTCACCATTCTCTGGCTCAGTACCGCAGCTCCCAGCACTCCAGTAATGAGCCCCCCTGCAGACTCCTTGGGTCCCCCTGCAGACTCCGTGACTCTCTCTGCTGACTCCGTGACTCTCTCTGCTGACTCCGTGACTCTCCCTGCTGACTCCGTGACTCTCCCTGCAGCCACTTTTGAGGAGCCTCAAAAGGAGTCTCCCTGCAGACTCCTTGAGTCCCCTCTCATTCAGCTAACTGTACTCTTTTGGTCAGCTCACCCCCCTTCCCTCAAGCTCGCTCCAGCTGGCTACCCGGTCCAGCTCGTTCGGTCTCTGAAATCAACCCACCCAACCAAACGCTCAACTTTCCGTCAGTGCGCACGTGTGTCTGTCTGACAGGGCTCGTATCTTCCCACTCATATCCATAGCCAATTTACTGGCTTCCCTTGCCCTCATCCCATTCACCTCTATGCTGCTCTATCCCATCTGTTCTTTCCATCACACCAGGCAGGCCGGTCAACTGTTCAGATGCCACCCGGGGCTTGTGTCTGCCGGGCTTCTGCCGTACCAACGGGTCGGCGTTCATCGGCTGCTTGTGCGCCACAGGCTTCAGTCAAGTCAACCCCTCTGCAGGCGACCCGTACTGTGCGCCAGGTGATGCCTTGGGGAGTAGTGCTTAGCCACAGAGTGTGCAGTAGGCATGCTTCCACCTCTGCGAGTCATGGGGTTGTAGTTTAGGCGCCTGCCACGTGTTTTTTAAGGCGCCTCAGAAACAGCCTCACGAGTAGCGGTTTTTGCTGCATGTGTTTCATAACCGGACTCTTTCGGGCATTCTGACCTGGCATTCTGACGTGGCATTCTGACGTGGCATTCTGTCATTGCATGCCTGCCTAACACGGCCCATGTGCGCACAGACACTGGCACTGGCGCATGCCCCTTGAAGGAGAATCCCTGTGGCGAGGGCGTTTGCTCTGGCACGGGCAATGACACCGGTTACACCTGCACCTGCCCGCCTGGTTACCACGCTGCGCAAGCCAATGGATCGCTCACCTGCACCATGGGTGAGACTGCTTTGACATTGAGTTGACTGAAAGGTGTTTGAGAATTCTAAAAAAGCTCACCTGCGCCAGTGGTGAGTCTGCTTTGAGTTGACTGAAAGGCACGTGTACTTGTTCGCCGGGCTGCCGTGCCACACAAGTCAATCAATCGCTCACCTGCTCTGTTGGCGAATCTGAAAACCCTCTCCATCTGCCCTTCTGTCGTGTTTGAGCATCAAGCTTCTCGTTTCCGCCCATCTCATTTCATCCCTCAACCATTCCATAGCCATCCCATCTCATCACGCCATCCCATCCCATGCTACCTCAAGCTACTATCCCATCCCCGTCCCGTCTCATGGCTTCTCGTCTCATCCCGTCCCATCCAATCCCACCCCTTCCCTTCCCTTCCCTTCCCGTCACATACTTTCCCGTCTCATGGCGTCATGGCCCATCCCCTCCCATCCAATCCTGCCCATCCCATCAAATGGTCGCAGAGCCGTCATCCGGCGTATCATCAGGCCTATCAGCCGCAGCTATCACAGGGATTGCGGTTGGCGCTGCTTGCCTTCTTCTTCTAGTCATCCTTGGCTTTTTCCTTTGGCTGAGGCACACTCGCCAACAGCCCGAGAAGCGCACGGGGCTGAAGGGTGCTGCACGGATTGACCAAGGCAAGTGCTGCTGAACAATGCGCAAGTCAAGACAGTGGTTTTCCTACGTATGGAACCCATCCCACCACCCATCTCACCACCCATCCCACCATCCATCCACCGTCCTTGAACCTCCCTCACCGCATGGTGTCTCAGATCGATCCAGCCCACCCCTCGCCTCACTAGCAGCAGTGGCCCGGCTCCCATCTGGCAATGTGTACGAAGAGGTGCCAGCGTGCCAGTTGCAACCCTCACACCCTCTCTCTCACCCATGCGTCCCACCACCAGCAGCAGTGCCCCTGTGCCGTGAGTTGCCATAACTTGAGCTAGCCCATGCCACCGACAGCTTGTCGCCCGCAACCCGCTGGCCATTCGCCTGGCAATACTGATGTGCACCGAGGCGTTGCTGTTGACGACTTCACCTCACTCCACCTCACTCCACCTCACTCCACCTCACACCGTCCTCTCTCAACCCATCCACCCACTTCCTGAACGCCACCAGCAGCAGTTCCACTGTGCCAGGAGCTGCCCCTGAGCGAGCTGACCCAGGCCACTGACAACTGGTCGCCCCACAACCTGCTGGGGACGGGCGGGTACGGCGACGTGTACCGCGGGGTGCCTGCTGCCGACCCTTGTTCTGTTTGGGCCGTGAAGCGAGCCAAAGTCATCACCAAGGACTTCAGGAGAGAGGTGAGGCTTGTAGGCGTGACGGGGCGCCAAGGAGCACTAAGCGGCATTAAGGGGCACTAAGGGGCACTAAGGGGCACTAAGGGGCACTAAGTGGCATTAAGGGGCACTAAGGGGCACTAAGGGGCACTAAGGGGCACTAAGCGGCATTAAGGGGCACTAAGGGGCACTAAGGGGCATTAAGGGGCACTAAGCGGCATTAAGGGGCACTAAGGGGCACTAAGGGGCACTAAGGGACACTAAGGGGCACTAAGGGGCACTAAGGGGCACTAAGGGGCATTAAGGGGCACTAAGCGGCATTAAGGGGCACTAAGGGGCACTAAGGGGCATTAAGGGGCACTAAGCGGCATTAAGGGGCATTAAGGGGCACTAAGGGGCACTAAGGGGCACTAAGTGGCATTAAGGGGCACTAAGGGGCACTAAGGGGCACTAAGGGGCACTAAGCGGCATTAAGGGGCACTAAGGGGCACTAAGGGGCATTAAGGGGCACTAAGCGGCATTAAGGGGCACTAAGGGGCACTAAGGGGCACTAAGGGGCACTAAGGGACACTAAGGGGCACTAAGGGGCACTAAGGGGCACTAAGGGGCACTAAGGGGCATTAAGGGGCACTAAGCGGCATTAAGGGGCACTAAGGGGCACTAAGGGGCATTAAGGGGCACTAAGCGGCATTAAGGGGCACTAAGGGGCACTAAGGGGCACTAAGGGGCACTAAGGGACACTAAGGGGCACTAAGCGGCACTAAGGGGCACTAAGGGGCACTAAGGGACTCCTCTGGATAATTGGCTCTTCTAGACACGTGGCGCGCGGTGCCTGGGATGTGAAGAGTTCTAAGATTGCGATCAGGGACTAGAGGAGAGGGGCAACGCATTTGGATGTTCGCTTGTCACCTTTGGTTCACATTCTCCTCCTCATTCTCCTCCTCATTCTCCTCCTCATTCTCCTCCTCATTCTCCTCCTCATTCTCCTCCTCATTCTCCTCCTCATTCTCCTCCTCATTCTCCTCTTCCCCTCGGTTCACATTTGTCCAAGCAGGTGCAGCAGATGGCATCGAAGCACCACCCGAACCTGGTGCGGCTGCTGGGGTATTGTGTGCATATGGATGCTGGCACGGAGGAGCACGAGCAGATTGTGGTGTATGAGTTCATGGACGGAGGCGACCTGCTGCGGTATATGCATGCTGAGAAGGGTGAGTGGAAGCGGTATTTACACGCAAGAAGGGTGAGTGATGGTCCGTTGAGGAGTCCTCCTTCCGATACTCAATTGGTCCGTTGTATTACATAGAAGTAGTGTACAGGCAAGGCATATGGGCAGCCACGAAGGTGAGTCCTAACAGCCTGGGCCGGAGGAACCTAAGGGTTCCCATACTCCTCCGCTTCATTATCTTTTCATTACCTGCAGGCACGCGTCCCCCTCTCTCCCTGGAGCAGCGCCTGAGTGTGCTTATTGACATAGCTCGTGGGCTGCAGTACCTGCACAGCTTTGGCATCGTGCATCGCGACATCAAGCCCGCCAACATCCTGCTAGATAGACACACGACGGTAAGAGCACCAACCGAGCCACAGACACACGACAGTAAGAGCACCAACCGAGCCACAGACACACGATGGTAAGTGCACCAACCGAGCCACAGACACACGACGGTAAGTGTACCAACCGAGCCACAGACACATGACGGTAAGTGCATCACCAACCAACCAAGCATGCCCACATCTCCTCCCTGTTTCTTTGCAACGAGGGCAGGGCCATTGGTGTTAGGATCCGCTGCCGGTGACTTACCTTAAATTTAACAGCAGACCCGGCGTGCATCTGAGCGTTAGTGCAAAAAGGCTGCTCTACCTTTTTTGGATGCACACGGCAAAGTAGAACTGTTGAAGATTGAGGTTAACCCAACGAAAGAACAATGCACAAGCTACTGATACGTGTCACCTAACCTAGCGCGCAGTGTTTCATCGTGGAGTGTGGACGCACTATCACCAGCTGTTCAAAGCATTCGAACGAGGCATGCGCGCTAAGGGCCTGCCCACTAAGGGCCTGCTCACCAAGCTTGTTGCTTTACAATGGAGATCCATCTGCAGGTGGGCATGATGTATCCGACTGCGCTGATGTGAGTGGAGTGGAAAGCGTCCAGAGTTCTTGTTCTCCCTTCCGAAATTGTTCTGCTCTCGCCTATTTCCACTCCAGGGGCTTGCAGACTTGGCCATCCTGGCCAGCGTTTCCTGGCCTCCATCCTGGCCTCCATCCTGGCCTCCATCCTGGCCTCCATCCTAATGCTTTCAAAACTTCTCAAAAGCAGCTTTCTTTGTCTCTTGTGTTTCCAGGCAAACTAGCTGACACTGGCATCAAGTGGATGGGAGATGAAAGCACGCCAACGCCCTTGTTCTCCCTTCTTCTCCCGTCTGTCTTCAATACTCCAGGCCAAGATAGCGGATTTTGGCATAGCGCGCATGGGGGATGAGAGCTCCAGTGGCGACACGACTCGCATTCTCGGCACCCCGGGCTACGTGGACCCTTCGTACTCCAAGTCCCGCAAGGCCACCACTGCTGCTGATGTGTACAGGTGCAGTTTTGATGTGTACCATTGTGATAGGCGTGTAGTCTTGAGACGTCTCACAACTGCACCCTGGGCTATGTGGACCCTGCATACTCCAACTCCTGCAAGGCCACTGCTGCTGCTGATGTGTACAGGTGGGTGCATTGACTGTAGAGGTGACTTGTGAATAAACTCCCAAGGGACCTTGGGCTATGTGGACCCTGCGTACGTGAAGTCACATAAGGCCACTGCTGCTACTGCTGCTGCTGCTGCTGATGATGATGATGTGTACAGGTAGAGAGCCATGCAGGAGATGCTTAAATGATGTGTGCGCAGGTGCCATGACTGTAGATGGGAGTTGTGAATCAACGTATAAGGCCCCTTGGGTGACCGGCACTTCGGGCTACGGACACCCTGGGCTACGGGCACCCCTGGTGCAAGGGGGGAGGGGATGAGGTGTTTGCAGCCTTTCCTTCTTGATTCGTCCTGGTTTATCCCCGTGTTTGTTGGTTGCTCTGTAGCACTGCATGTGTGAAGGCATTGTGTATTGCATGGCTCGCCTTCTCATAAAAGAGTATGTGGAGTAGAGTTCTATTTAAGTGTCATGGGCCGTCATTGCATTTCATGCCCTCTATTGGTAGGGCCTTTCTTCGCTTGAGACAGCACTCTCTCTTTGTTGGTCCCATTATTTCATTGTTAATCCCATTATGTCATTGTTGATCCCATTATGTCATTGTTAATCCCATTATGTCATTGTTAATCCCATTATGTCATTGTTCATCCCATTATGTCATTGTTAATCCCATTATGTCATTGTTAATCCCATTATGTCATTGTTAATCCCATTATGTCATTGTTAATCCCATTATGTCATTGTTAATCCCATTGTTTCATTGGCTTTGCACAGCTATGGTGTCGTTATGCTGGAGCTACTAACGGGGCGCAGAGCACTTTTGCCATTGGGAGACCAGAACGTGCACATCCGACAATGGGTGAAGCCTCTTAACCCTTTCCGTCTATCGTTGGTAGCAGACGAGCTTGCTTACCACCCCCCACCACCCCTCACCACCCCCACCACCCCCCGCCCCATGTCCCCTGTAACACCCTCCTCGTTTTACTCCCGGTGCCCGCGTCTCAACTCAACTCTTATCAAGCATGCTGTGTCCAACCCAACTGCCACGCTCTTTACCCCCCCCCCCCCTCACTCCTTCCCCTCTGCCTCACCCACTCTTTGAGTTCTGCTCGTTGTGTCTTTCTTCCGCGTGTGCCTGTAGGCTGAGCCGCTGCTGGCGTGTGGGGATATAGAGAGCTTTAGGGACCCCACCCTTGATGCCCCGCATGATACCATTCTGCAACTCGGCCAGCTGGCGCTGCGATGCACCGCCATGCCCGTAACTGGCCGTCCACACATGGACCAGGTCGTTTCGGATCTGAGTAAAATTCATAAGAGTGCACCCGGGGGCGGTAGTTCGGAGTTAAGTGCAGTTGATGCGATTATGCTTAGTGTTGAGCATCCAACGCATAGTTTTGACGAGGCTATTGCCCTTGCTGTGGGAAGTCAGCAATCTGCTCTAGCACAACGGTCTGATAGTTAAATTATATCTTATATATAATTGTAGGCTTGGTAGCTGTTACTGAAACTTACTGTAGAGGGTACAACACCCCTCCTTTATCCCTCTCTCTTCTATTCTCTACCTCTTGTCTCTCGTCAACTTTCTCCTAGCTAAACCCTTATGCCATTCCATGGCTTCCTAGCTATCTAGTCTCGTGACATGGTATCAGAGCAGGTTGCTCTTCCTAGGCTTGCTTATCACGCTTCCGCCGCGCACTTCTCTCTCCCTCGCGCTGCCATGGCGGACGCGTCGTGCTGCTGTGGCGGCGTCGTCGTGCCGCCGGCCGCGTCGTGCTGCTGCGGCCGTCTCGACGTGCTGCTGTGACGTCGAGCCGTGGCGGCGTGACGGCGACGTCAACGTCGAGCTCTGGCGGCGTGACGGCGCCGTCGACGTCGAGATGTGGCAGCGTGACGGCGCCGTCGTGCTGCCGCGGCGTCTACGCGACAGCGCGCGGACGGCACGGACGGCAGCGGCCAGCGCCCCGTCTTAGCGCTGGCCAGCACGCCCGCATGCAGCCAGCGCGCCACATGGGGCGGCACGCTCCAGGGTCCGCTGCTGAAGCCCCGCCCCCCTTCCCCTGCATCCCCTCTTCCATTGCCGCAGCCGACAGCTGACTCGCGCCGGCCGTCCCACCGTCGCGGAGCCCGGCTACGCCACCGAGTGCTGCGAGCTCCGCCGCTGCCGGCAGCTGTCGTCGAAGCCGCCGGTGCCGCGGCTGGTGCCGCTGGCCACGCCGCCGCATGCCGCTACCGCCGCCGCACGCCGCTGCCGCCGCCGCTGTCGACGCTGCCGCCGTCGCCGCCGTTGCAGCCGCTGCCCTCGTAGTCGACGTCGCCTCGCCTCACGCGCCATGGGGTTGACCGTGCTGAAGTAGCTGTCGCTGCTGCTGAGTATGGGGGTGCTAGGGGGTGTGTGGCTTAGTGTGCTGTGTGTGTGGTGGGCTTGCCGCTACCAAGCCTATGGGTTGTGTTAAATTATATCTTATATATAATTGTAGGCTTGGTATGTGTTATTGAAACTTACTGTAGAGGGTGCAATACCCCTCCTTGTATCCCTCTCTCTTCTATTCTCTACCTCTTTTCTCTCGTCAACTTTCTCCTAGCTAAACCCTTGTGCCATTCCATGGCTTCCTAGCTACCTAGTCTCATGACACTGATTAGCATATGATTGGTTCTGCATTTATTGGTTGTCATTTTTCAAAATAGTGTCTGGCCCTGGGCCTTACCCTCATCACTGGGCTGGTAAAGCTCAACCTATATTTCACGCATTACCCGTGCCTCATCAGCAGCAGCAGCATCAGTAGCAGCCTCAGCAGCAGCAGCAGCAGTCGCCGTGGGCGCCTCCGCCGCCGTGGTGGCCTTGCAGTTCTGGTGGTAGTGGGGGGCGCAGCTCGGTGTCGGGTGGTGGCTCCAGTGTGGTCAACTGCCAGTACCAGCTTCGGTCTGGCCCCTGCTGCGAAACCATCTGTGACCGCCCCGGTCACACCGCCGCACGCTGCTACCGCCGCCTCGATGACCTCTTCCGTCTCCGCTCCGGCCCCACGGCGGACCCCCTTGACTGGTACAGCCTGGTGCGTCGTCGTGTGCCTGTCTTTGAGATAGACATGGATCAGATTAGGTCTGCTTTGTATGCCATGTATGCTGATGAATCTAGTGTGACTGGACCCTATTACCCGGTGTTTCCTAGCGTAGGTGTGTCCGCAGTGTGTAGTCTAGGTTCCCCTGCTGCGTCAGGCATAGGACCCCCTACCTTGTTTAGCCTAGGCTCCACGCTAGCCCCTCCTCCAGCGGACGCTACTGCTTCGCTCTCCTTCACGCTTGACTCTAGAGCATCTACCTGCTTCTTCCGCGACCACACTTCGCTCACGCCTCTTGCCGACCCTGCCACTGTCGCGCTTGTTGACCCCTCCTCAGGTCCGGTAGTTGCCCGTAGCTTCACCACCCTTCCCTATTCGGCGGTCCCCTTGGGTTCTCTTACAGGCGTGCACATCCCCTCGTTCTCCAAGAACCTAGTTGGTGTCGAGTGTCTTCAGGACCTTGGCGTGACCACTACGTTCCTTGGTCACGAGCGGTGCACGGTCTGTACCAAGGCCGCCACTGGTGCTCCTCTGACCACGTTCCCCAAGGACCCTATGTCTGGCCTGTTTACGCTGGACACTGCGTCCCCCCCGGTACCTACGTCGACCCAGGTTGCTGCGGCTTGCTCGTGTCGGTCGCTCACTCACCCGTCGCTGCTGTGGCACCACCGCCTAGGTCACCCCACACTCCCGCGTTTGCGTCATATCTCCCATCACGGTCTTGTCTTTGGTCTCCCTGCGTTGCTCTCTGCCCTCCCTCCCTCGCCTGTGCCGCCGTGCATGCCTTGTGTCGAGGGCCGGCTACGCTGTGCTCCTCACTCCTCCTCGCTTCCCCCTACCACTGCGCCACTCCAGATCCTGCACCTATACGTTTGGGGCCCAGCCCCTGTCCCTGGGCCGCGTCGCGAGCGCTACTTTCTAGTGCTTGTCTACGACTATACGTGCTACACCACAATGTTTCCCTTGGAGCGGAAGGCCGATGTGCCTGACGTTCTTATCCCGTGGGTCGTAGCTGCGCGAGTCCACTGCGGCCTCCCTATGCTGCGTCTCCACTCCGACCGTGGCGGCGAGTTCGCCTCTGGTCGGCTTGGCCAGTTCTGTTGTGCGGAGGGCATCACCTAGTCGTACACCCTGCCGGACTCCCCGCAGCAGAATGGGGTTGCTGAGCGACACATCGGTTTAGTCATGGAGGTGGCTCGTACCTCCATGATCATGCCGGTGCACCCCATTTTCAGTGGACGTTCGCTGTTCGCTACACCGCTCACCAGCTTAACCTCTGGCCGCACTCCCAGCGGCCTCAGGTTTCGCCGACCCTTCTCTGGACCGGGTTCTTTGGTGACGCATCTGCGCTCCACGTCTGGGGCTGCCTTGCTCACGTTCGTGCCTCTGGCACGGACAAGCTCATTGCTTGCACTGTCCCCTGTATCTTCCTTGGCTTCCCCCTCGATGCGTCTGACTGGCAATTTTACCACCTGCCGTCTCACCGCTTCTTTCACTCGCGTGACGTCACTTTTGATGAGTCTGTCTCCTTCTACCACCGCTTTCCCCATCGCGGTCTCCCGGTTTCCCCGCCCCTATTTATGGTTCCCACTCCCCAAGTAGCCCCTGCTCCTCTCCCTCCTCGTCCCGCCCCGTCTGGTTTGACTCACGTCTCTCCCCTCCCATCGGTTGTCCCGGTCGAGGAGTCGGCTGACTCTGGTGGCCCCGCGGCATCGTTCTTGCCGCCTGTCTCCACCTCGGTGTCTCCTCCGCAGTCGCCGCCGCCGCAGCAGCAGCCGCCGCAGGGGTCCGCCAGCTCTGGGGGTGTGAGTGCTGAGCAGGGTGCTAGTCCTGGGGTTACTGTCGTGGCCTGTCCTGGTGGCCCTGGGGGTGGCACCAGTGCTCGGGAGGGTTCTCGTTCTAGGGGTGCTGGTCCTGGGGGTGGTAGTCCAGGGGTTGGCATCGATGCTGGAGGTGGTTCTTGTAATGAGGGTGTTGGTGTGGAGAGTACTGGAGGCATCCGTTGTGCAACTGGAGGTTCTGGTGTCGGCTTGGAGCAGCAGCAGCAGCAGCAGCAGTCGCCGCTGGTGTCCGCCCTTCGCCTCCTTGGTCTTCCCTCCCCTGAACACCCACCGGCGCCTCCCCTGCAGCTGCTTCCCCCGCCTATCTACGGCCCTGTGTTTCCGCTACTGGACTCGTCTCTGGCTCTTTTCCCCCCTCGTTCTCCTCCTGTGTCTCCTCCTGTGTCTCCTGACCCCACGCCTCCGTCTCACTTCTGGTCTCGCCATCCCTCTCGTGCCCGTCCTGTCTCTCCTGTTCAGTGCTCTCACCCTATGTTGCTCCGTTCCCACGCGTCTCGTCCTCCCCTCCTCCCGTCGCCTCCTCCGTTCTCGAATGTTGTCTCTCTGCCTCCTTTGTCTGACTTCCTTCGCGCCGCTATTCCTCTCGTTCCTCAGGTCCTTGCCTCTCTCGTTACCGACCCGTCAGTTCTTATCTCCAGTCTTGACGCTCTTATCGCTGCTGTCGTTGACTTCGCCTCTACCCGCCGTCTTGACTACGCCACCGCTCTAGTCTTTGACCATGTCTGTCCTCTGTCCGTTGGGGGTGCGTCTGCCTTTGGCAGTGACGTCCTAGAGGACAGGCAGTTCGAGCTTGCTTTCCTGTCCGAGGCTGCTCCCCATCTCTACTCCATGCTGCTAGTCCCTAAGGGTGACCCTGATGCCTTTGACAACTCGAACCCTCGCACTTACGTTGAGGCGACCTCGGGACCCTGGGCCTCTCAGTGGATAGATGCCATGGAGCAGGAGATGGCATCTTGGAGATTCACCAGCACCTACGTCGACGCAGTTCCCCCACCTGGGGTGAACGTAGTCGATGGCCGCTGGCTCCTCAAGGTGAAGCGCCCCCTTGGAGAGCCGCCTGTGTTCAAGGCGCGCTGCGTGGCTAGAGGTTTCAGCCAGCGTGAGGGGGTGGACTTCTTTCAGACCTTCGCCCCGACCCTAAAGATGACTACTCTTCAGGCGCTGCTACACATAGCAGCGCAGCGTGACTACGAGTTACACTCCCTCGACTTCTCCACTGCGTTTCTTTAGGGCAGCCTACACGAGCAGGTCTACCTATGCCGTCCTTACGGCTTTACTGGTACCTTCCCTCCAGGGACCCAGTGGCTCCCTCGGCGCCCAGTCTACGGCTTGCGACAGGCGCCCCGTGAGTGGCACAACACGCTACGTGCTACGCTAGGTGACCTGCAGTTCTTTCCGTCCTCTGCGGACCCCTCGCTCTTCGTTCGTGCTGGCTAGACTCCGTTCTACATCCTTGTCTACGTGGACGACCTGGTCTTCGCTACTGCCGACAGAGATGAGCTGGCCTCCGTGAAGGCCGAGCTGCTGAGGAGACACACATGCACTGACCTAAGAGAATTGCGCCGCTACCTTGGCCTGCAAATCTCCAGGGACAGAGCAGCGCGCACCATCACTCTCATACATTCACACTTGGTGCGTCAGGTCTTTCAGAGGTTCGGTCTTCAGTTCTC